TAACAAGACCGTTGCTCTGATGCCAATGTTAAGTATCTATGTGGAATCAGAAAGATTTGCGACAGAAAAATAGGAACGAAGATGAACAGTAAAGTAGATTTGTTATTCGATCAACAGAAAAGAGAGATAAGGTGTCCTGACAGTTAAAGAGATGTCAACTCTCCGGCCCCAGCCAATTACCAAATAACAGCCTCCCTTATTTCTCCTGTAGCTATCTATTATCTATTTATAGAAAGCTATCTATTTATAGAAGTCCACCCGACCCCTAATTACAATTCCCAGCTACTTATTATTCCCTTTCTTTCTGGAATACACTTTGACAAAATAGCTAATATTATTATTAAATGGCTTGCTACCAGTAGGCTATGTTTGGCGAGCATAAGTTCCTGCCTTCTAGCTTTTGTACTATTTAAAGAGTCTTTAAAAGCTTCTAGTTGTATGTTTGGCATGCCAATTTTTAAGAGCTTTTATAAAAATAAAAGATCTTTTTTGAGATGCTACAGTGAGTAACATCTAAGAAAAGTCCGTAGCTTCTAGCATTAATTAGTCCTAACAGCTTGTATCCCAAACAGAGCTAAATCAAACAGTCACTTTTTACCAAACAGCTACTGCCTTTTCTTTTTAAGATCTTTTCAGTCAATAAAAGCTAACAGTTTCTAAAAAGCTCATAAAAGTATCTTTTCACCTAGTTGTGCCAAACATACCCTAACAATTTTTCATAACCTTTTGGAGACTATTAGTAGAGTTAACTACATAACTCTACCCTAAACTAGGTAAGACTAATTAATGCGTATTAAAATATGAAAAAGGTTTAACTATTTTTGGAACGAATAGACAATGTAAATTAGGAAACCTATTAGCCATATATATTTCGTTATGAAACGAAGGTTGCTTAATACTTTTAAAAACTGAAAAGAAAAAATGAATTACAAGGTAAAAAAACATTTTGCAGACAGAAAAGAAACATCGCTATATATGCAAGGATTAAAAATGGATAGAAGACTTATTAATAATTAAAACATCAGTTGAACCCCAATATTTTGAAAACCAAATATGGAATGTAACTTGTTTTAGTGATATATGGAATTATGGAAGTAGTATTTTATGGAGGCCGCAATATATATGGGTGTTGTGGCGCAAGGCGGGATTGGTCCATTTTTCACAACTTTTTGGAACACCATGAAGGGTTTACGTGTTTAGGTGTTGCAAGTGCATATACATAAATACATAAATTGTAAAAAAAATCTTATATACATAAAGGGATAAATGGTAAAGCTGGAAAATGGTGTCGCGGAGGATTCTCCCTTTATGTGTATAAGATGTATATAAGATACGATTTTTTATTTTTGTAAAGTTTTTCATGTTATTTATATAGTTTTTTTTTTTAATTTAGGATCTATTTAAATCTTATGAATTTTCTTAATTTTTAAGTTAGCACCTGTAGCCCATTAGAGGTCGGATTATGATAAAATGACTAGATTAACTTTGTAAGTTAGCATGTGTGTATGGTACTTTCTTAGCATACGGATTTATGTGATGCATCTCAAACCATAGGTACAGTGATCACATATATGCCCGTGACTTACGTTCTGGATCGCGCGTACCGGATCGCGGTACGTTCGCGACCGGTACGTTTGCGAAACGCGTTTCGGGTACGACGTATCATCGTCGCAGATCGCGTGCTTCTTCCAGCGGGTACGCCGAATCCATTGTGCTGTTCGCCGTTCCATCCAGCGTCCAACGAAGCGGCAACTCTTAAGGTACGAAGTGAAGTTCAAGCATCGTCGACTGATTTTCGAATTGATTTTTCAAACGCCAAGCGTTATCGATTGACGAGCTTCACAGGTACGACGACTATTCATTTGTATTGGAACGGTAAAATTTGAAGCAATCACACCTATTTAAAGGCCTCAGCGTATCACCCTCTGCACACCTCTCTACTCTCTGTTCTCTACTAGCCTCTGCACACCTCTCTATTCTCTGTTCTCTGCTCTCTGTTTTCTTCAAAATGGTATTTGGCAAGCGTAGATTGCTAGAAACACAGTCCGATGATATCACAGATTTGACCCTGAGTGAGGAAGAAATAATAGAAATTGCTCCTACTCCTGTTGCTACAGAAGAGGTCCGCACCGGAAGTCAAAGTTCAAAACAAGACAGAGATGACAGACCTTTATTAGAAGAAGTAACCTTTATTGGAGCTCCAATCTCTAAAAATGCAGGGGGTGCCAAGGTTTGGATATGTAAGCATTGTAATAAAAAATTTACAAGCTCTTACACTAGAATACATGTCCATTTCTTTGGTTCTCAACTGGGGAAGAAGGCTGAAATAAACGGTGCCCTGCTTTGCTCAACGATCGGGAGAAGTATGATTGCTTGTTGAATAAAGTCAAGGCGGCTGAAAAGGCGGGTGTCTCTCGATCTTTGAAAAACTCTGTGCTCAATAAACCACAATGTATTCCTTCAAAAAAACCAATTCAAGACTCCCTCGGAATAATGGAGAGAAGTATGGTGGATTTGAAAATCATGAGAGGATTGTGTGCAAACGGTATTCCCTTTAATGTACTTCGCAATCCTCAATTTATAGAAATGGTAAGTGCCATCAACAAGGCACCCACGGGTTACAAACCTCCATCTAGTGAGAAAGCAAGGACGGTTTGCTTGATGAATGCGTTCGAGATGTGGAAAAAGACCTCACACCGATTAAAGATACTTGGTATTCACAAGGTGTTTCCATCGTATCCGATGGGTGGTCGAATATAAAGCATAAGCCCTTGATCAATATCATTGCCGTCAACGGTCGCGGTGCAATGTTCATGTACGCGGAGGACTTTTCTGGGTTGGAAAAAACCGGTGTGGCAATTGTGAATTTCTTGCTTGGAGCAATTGAAACCGTAGGACCGAGCAATGTCCTTCAAGTTGTGACCGACAACGCATCAAATTGCAAAGTTGCGGGTAGGGAAATTGAGAAGGTACATAAACACATCTTTTGGTCTCCTTGTTGTGTTCATACCTTGAATTTGATTTTCAAAGATCTTGCCAAAGAACTTGATTGGTTGATGACTACGTATACGAGAGGAAAAGTTATTGTGAAATATTTTCTTAATCACACCCAAGCTTTGGCAATTTTTAGAGATAATTCAAAGCTGGAGTTGTTGAAAGCTGCCAAGACTAGGTTTGCGTCACATTATATTTTGTTGAAAAGGTTAAGGGATTGTAGAGAAGCTCTTGCTACAACTATTGCTCTTAATTCTTGGAGAGATTGGGTGAAACAAGGGGATGAAAACACTAGAGTGACTGGATTGTTAGTCGCTGATACTATTAGGAGTGAGGAATTTTGGGATGATGTGGATAACATTCTTGCAATAACAAAACCAATTTTTTTTGTTAATCAAGTTTTGTGATGGTGAAGGATCGAAAATGGGGGAAATCTACGAAAAAATGGATAACATGTTGGGAGAAATAAAAGATATCATGGCTACAATCAATATGCTTCGGACTTTCCAAAAGTAGAGGCTATTGTGTTAGCTAGGTGGGAGAAGATGACTATTCCTTTGCACTGTTTGGGTTTTGCTTTATCACCACGATTTTATGATGTTTGTTATCTCGAGCAATTAGCACCCGGTGGAGTTGCTAGAAAAGCTCCAAATTTGGACAAAGAAGTTGTGTTAGGTGTTATGGAGGCTTTTAAAAAAATTGGTGAGAACCAAGAAGAACAAAGGCTCTTAAGAGAACAATTTGCAAAGTTTCACATGAAGAAGGTATTATTTTCTATGGCGGCAGCTCAGATGGATGCGGTGACTATGGAGGCCATCGATTGGTGGTCAACATACGGTTCAGAGACACCTGAGTTAGCGGAGGTTGCAAAAAAAGTATTGTCACAACCTATAAGTAGTTCCTCAACTAAGAGGAATTGGAGCACTTACTCTTACATTCACAGTGTCAAGAGAAACCGTTTGAATTGTAAACGGGCTGACAAGTTGGTGTTCATTCATTCAAACATTCATCTTCAATCAAGATTTTCCAAAAGTTACAAAGTTGGCCCGAATAAGAAGTGGGACATTAATCCTGAAAGTGCGTATGTGGAAGGGTCAAGTGCAAGACTCGATGAGCTACAATGGAAAGATTTAGAAGAAGATGTTGGTCCAAATGATAAAGGAAAGAGGCCAAGGATTGAGTAGTTTGCTGATGTTTAATGTTTTGTTGAAGTTTGTTTAATGTTTATTACTTTATTTCCTGTTATGTTGAAGTTGTTGGCTTGTTGCTGGAATTTTGAAACTTTGTTTACTGTTTTGTCATCTTTTATTGTTGTTGCAAACATTGTTAAGTTTGTTTAATGTTATTGAAGTTATAAAAGTTAATTGTTTAATATTATGCTTGTATTAATTATATTTATACTTGGTGTTTTCAATATGTTTATGGTTCACCGTACCATAAACAGAGGGTACAATGTACCACGTACCGAAATCGCGTACCGAAGAAGCCTACCCCCCTACGTATCGAATTTCTAATTTTGGCGATCCACGTTCCCGTTTTCGTACCGCGTACCTAAGCGTTCCGCGATCCATGTCTCAAACTTTGTTCTAGGACTCGCTAGGCGCTAGGCGGACGGTTGAGGGGGGCCTAGCGCCTAGGCACCGATTAGGCGTCGACTAGGCTGATTAGTCCTCCATATTTAGGGCTGTCTAGCGCCTAGGCCCCAATTAATAAGACCGACTAGGCCGATTTTTAGAACAATCCGATTAGATATTGATATATGTTTGCATATTGAACCAAAGTGCGTGTTTATTGGACAGGAAAAATAGTTTATGTCTGATAGTTAAAATAATATTTAATAGCTGATAGGGAAAAAACTATGGTACGATGAAACTATAAATTTTTAAAACATGAAATGCAAATCCAATTTTGATGTTAACACGGGATGAAGAAATCAATTATGTGTTATTATTTTATATTATTTTAGTCATTAAAGCATAGATAAAAATCTTCCAATATATATTCAGGAGGAATGGGTGGTGTGTAGGGTATTCCAAAAATCTAATACAACATTGAGAAAATCTCAACAAACAACATCTTCGCCACAATCTCTAGAGTCTCCTTGTGATACCAGCACCACCATAGCCAATGAATCGGGAGATAACGATGTACCGAAATTTGACACCATAGTATCATATTCTTCTCAAGCCGGGATCAACAACATTTATTTGCAAAATTACGACAACAATCATGAGGGTGTGTATATGGGCATGGACAGCAACATCAACATGAATGCTACTCTCCCCCTACTCCCCTGGTCGCCACCGTTGCTTAGCTCAAATCTTTCATCCGTCAATTCATTGCTCCTTAGAGCATTACAATTTAGAGGTAATAATGTATGCCAACCAACAGTAATGGATCATAATCAAGCTGTTATATGCAATAGTACTAATGATTATGCATGCATGCCACAAGGGTTGATGGACAATAGTATTTCACAGTTTGGTAATGAGCTCAACAACACTACTAGCAATTTCATGGGACTGCCAACTTCTTCCTCCGTGATTTTAGATTTTGTGAATAATCAACAACACTCACAAGAGAAACCATACAAGGAACATACCAACAACTTGTGAGGCTTCAATTGCTTTTAGACACTCTTATTTGTAAATTATTTCATGCTTAGCTTGTAAAAAACTAGAAACTAAATGTTTTGTTTTTGTAGTCTTCATGACAGAACTGAAGTATTGAGTGCTCAATTATGCATCATGACCATTACAATGTATTACCATCTGCTTACAAAATCTTAGTATTAAACTTAATGTGACATCGAAAATAAGAACTTCAAATAAATGTGGTAATATTATTTATATTTAGAGGAAATTATTTAGGTGTTTATCATTACGTACTTTTAATTATTTTTTCATTCACATCTATGCACATATATTGTAATTTTCATATGTTCAATTCTCCCATTTCTGTTTTATTTCTTTTATGTGCATTCTGTCTTTAGTTTCACAAATTAGTTTACCCAAACCCACAACAATTGCGTTGAAACTATTCACTTATTTGCTGTTGTTCCACCTTAATTGCAGCAATTTGTGGTAATATGTTTGGGCACTGGCCGGACATTCAACTTCAATGTAGATATGAGTGGGCATGTAGCAAATAAAGGTGCACACTCATGGGAAAAAATATTTATGATTGGACAGGGTAAGTGTTGAGGGGACACTTAGGGATGGACCCAGGCCGCTCCGGGCCGAGCCTCGGGCCGGGCCCGGGCAGTTTTTTTGGGTTGTTGAGACCTGGAACGGCCCGGGTAGCTACCGGGTCCAGGCCGGGCCGGGCTACCGGGCCGAGCCTAGCTATCCGGCCTAGTACTAGGTTAGGGGTGGACTCGGTTCCGGGTCGGGCCTAGGTCTGGGCCGGGTCTGTGTTAGGCCTAGGCTCGGGTGGGCCGACTGTTCAGGAATGGTGGACCTAGGACCGGTCCGGGTCGGGCCTCCGGTCAGGGTAATTTTTTTTGCTTTCCTAACCCCCCACCCCCCCTCTCACCCCCATCCCAAACCCCCCAACCCATCCTAACCATCAAGCCCAACCTGGGTGGAACCTCAAAAATGAAAAAAAAAAATCAATTTGGCTCAGGCTCGGGCTTGGCCTTGCCGTGCCGGTTTGCCAAATGTGAGACCCGAGCCCGGACCCGCCCTACCCCCTGGGGCCCGGGCCGGTTCCGGTCCTGCACAGTAGTGGGCCGGGTGGCCCGACCCAAGTCCAACACTATACTGGGACGAGTCGGGTCGTGTTCGTTTTTTTTTAATTTTAAGTTGTTTACAAATTAATTGAAGAATTGCTAGATATAAAAAAGTTAAAATATATGTATTTGAAATACATTTTCTAATAAATATTACTCCCTCCGTCGCAATTTGTAAGATACTTTTCGGTTTACGATGTTTGACCGATGATAAAGCAAATTGATCTCTGTCAACACTCGAATTAGTTTTACAAAATAGAATTTACATATTCAGAATCTACATTAAAACTGCTACAAAACATGCAAAAAATAATTCAAATTTCATCAACACTTGATATATAAACCAAAAGATTAAGAGTGATTTATGTTGACCAAGTGAATAGTAAATGTATCTTACAATTTGGGATTGAGGGAGTAAATAATAATCAATCGGAATCTCCGCCATCTTCGATTGTTTCCTCCATAAAGTGGCGGGTGGGAGTGATGCTCACACTTCTTGAGTTCTATGTTGGATCTTCAACCAATCTTTGAAGCAACCAAGCATTTCAAGAGAGTTTGCGCTCAATCTCGTTCTATAATCCGTTAGCACGTTGCTGGTCGCACTAAATTCTTGTTTCACGGCAACTGTTGATACCAACATTGCTAGCACTTGTTTAACCATCTTTGATAAAACCGCGAATGTTCTTTCTTTTTCCTTCCACCACTTTAGAACGTCAAAGTCATTTCCTTCTTCATACTCAACAGGAAATGTTAGATACATAGAAAGTTCGTTAATCTAGCTTTGTTTAGTAACGGGAGTTGATTTACTTTTCTTCATAAGATTGACAAATGTAGATTTGAAAAATGATTTTCCTTTAGATGAAGATTTTCGTGTCGGGGGAGGGGTTGCGTTACCATGTTGTGCATGAAACTCATTAAATAAATGATAAATAAATTACTAACCTCGTTTTATTTTAGTTTAGAGTCTATGGCCTTATCGTCGTACATAGGTAGGGATGGATTCGGGCCGGGCCTAGGCCCGGTCGGGTCGCCGGTTCGTATCAGATGGGCCCGGGACCGGCCCGAGGGTTGGACGGGTCCGGTTCGGGCCGGGCCACCCGCCCGGGTCACGGGTCGGGCCACCCGCCCGGGTCACGGGTCGGGCCACCCGCCGGGCCGGGCCGGGCCGGTTAAATATTTTTTTTTAATTTATATTTTATACTTTATAGTTTTATACAAGTATTAAAAAACAAACTTCAAGTGCATTTATTTGAAATGAAATAGGAACTCCATTTGAAAATTAAATAGGAACTATAATTGTTTTTAATCGGAATCTCCGGCATAGGTAGAGCCACCCTTTGTAGATTCATCCATAAAGTGTTGGGATGAAGTGATGTCAATTTCTTGAGCTCTACGTGCTTCTTTCAACCAATCGTGGTAGCATATAAGCATCTCAAGAGATTCAGCGCTCAACCTCGTTCTGGTTTGTGTTAGAACATTGCCGGCCGAACTAAATTCTTGTTCCACGGCAACCGTTGAAACCGGCATTGATAGCACTTGCTTAGCCATCTTTGCTAAAATCGGGAACATTCTTTCTTTTCCCTTCCACCAGTTTAGTACGTCAAAATCATCATCTTCTTCAAAATCAACATCATAAGTTAAATACAAAGAAATCTCATTAATTGTGCTTTGTTGTGTAGCGAGAGTTGATTTTGTTTTTTTAATAAGATTGTCAAACGTAGATTTGAAAATTGATTTTCCTTTAGATGATGTTTGTGTCGGGGGAGGGGGCGCATTGCCATATTGTGCATGAAACTCATTGAATAATGCATAAAATATATCACTAACCTCGTTGTATTCTTTTTTCGGATCAATTGGGTTGTCCTCATACATTGGGAATGGACCAAAAAAAGCAGCATAATAATAATTCAAACATTCTTCTAAAGAACCAAGTCTAAAACGAGGATCGAGAACAAATGCAATACCATAAATATGCGGAATATGTGAATAATATTTTAAAAACTTTTCCTTCATAAAACCAGCAAAATAACTCACATAATCAGCATTCTCAAAATTTGAAAAAGCACCGGCGAGATTAACAGCTTCACGAATAAATTGGTTTGAGGCAGGTTTATAAACATGACTAAAAGTTTCAGTTGCATTATTAAAATATATCAAAGCATTACAAATTTTTTCACAGGTGTCGATCTCAGCCGAGTTTATAATATAGTTATCATATTGTTTCATAAAAGCAGGAAAATGTTGTTTATATCTAAGAAGAACGTTAATTAACTTATAGGTACTATTCCAACGAATAGATAAATCTTTTGGAAAAGCCACATATCTCTCACCTCTTTCTATCAAATAATAATGCCATTTTTTCCTAAGGTGTCCATTACCCCAAATACGTCTAATCCCCCTCTTGACTACCTCCAATGATGCTCCCAACGTTTTTAGACCATCTTGCACACATAAATTTAGAACATGACATGCACATCGTTGATGAAAAAATCTACCCATCAAAGAAGTAGAACCACACAATTCACGCAATCTAGGAATAGCAACAGTATTATTAGTAGCATTATCAAAACCAATAGCAAACACCTTATCAATTAAATTATACTCAATTAAAATACGTTCAATCAAAATATAAATATGTTCAGCGGTGTGACGATCATTAAATTCACGGAAAGCAAGAACACGTTTATGCATATGCCAATCATTATCAATATAATGTACAGTCAGACCCAAATAATGTAAATTATGATAAGTATCCTCCCATATGTCAGAACATACAGTAACACGTCCATCAAAGTTTGCAAAATAATTTTGTAACCTTACCTTTTCCGCACCATAAAGCCTTGAAATTTCTTTCTTAACTATTTATCTAACTATTAATTCGAGTTATAGCAAATTAAGTAGTGAATTAACTAGTTTTGTGTACAACATATTTTATAAACTAGAGTCAAATGTAGCAATTAATAAAAAATTGTAAAAAACTAATTAACTATTTATCTAACTATTAATTCGAGTTATAGCAAATTAAGTAGTGAATTAACTAGTTTTGTGTACAACATATTTTATAAACTAGAGTCAAATGTAGCAATTAATAAAAAATTGTAAAAAACTAATTAACTATTTATCTAACTATTAATTCGAGTTATAGCAAATTAAGTAGTGAATTAACTAGTTTTGTGTACAACATATTTTATAAACTAGAGTCAAATGTAGCAATTAATAAAAAATTGTAAAAAACTAATTAACTATTTATCTAACTATTAATTCGAGTTATAGCAAATTAAGTAGTGAATTAACTAGTTTTGTGTACAACATATTTTTTAAACTAGAGTCAAATGTAGCAATTAATAAAAAATTGTAAAAAACTAATTAACTATTTATCTAACTATTAAACAAGAGTCAAATGTAGCAAATTAACTAGTAATTAAACAAGTGTAAATAATAGAATAATTTCGTACCTCTTTCGGACTTTCGGTCTTTCGGATGAGAGTAATAGAATGACTTTAAATTAATTAGATATAATTCCAACTATATTAATAGATATAATAAATATATAAGTAATATATAATTAGATAACAAATATAAGTAATATAATACTATTTATATCTATTTATAGTTTATATAAGTAGATAATTAATATAAACTATAAATAATAAATATAATATATTGGAGAATGGAGAATAAGAGAATTAGAGAGTAGAGAGTTAAGAATAGGATTTAGGAAGAATTGGAGAAGAGATATGAAAAAATGTTTAAGATTAGGAGTATTTATAGGTTTTTTTACCCCCCACCCCCCCCACCACCCCCCCACCAGCCAACCCTCCCGGACCCCCCCCCTTTACCCCACCCAACGGCTATATAGCCGTTTGGGTTGTCCCCACCCCCACCCCCAACGGCTAGTAGGAGCCCAAACCCATTTTTTTTTTAAAAAGAACCGGACCTGGGCCCGGGCCCGACCCGGGTCACAATAATGCAGAACCGAGCCTGCCCCACCCCTTCCCACCGGTCCGGGCCCATACCCGGTCCCGAACCGCCCGACCGGGCCGGTCCCGGGCCCGCACAGTACCGGGCCGGGCCGGGTCACGGGCCGGGTGGCCCGAACCGAATCCATCCCTATACATAGGCAATGGATCAAAAAAAGAAGCATAGTAGTAATCTAAACATTTTTCCAAA